GCGGCTGTCTGGTGACTGCTGCTGACTGGCGCGTGGCTCCCGCTCCACCTGGCTCCCCCGCGCACCTGCCACGCCCCCTCGCCTCCCTCCTGCCCCCTCTCTCTCTTCCTCCTCCTGCTCCTATTCCGTCCTTCTCCTCCCCCTCCTCCTCTTCCTCTTCCACCGTCCCTGTTCACCTCCCTTCCTTCCACTCTTCCTGTTGCTTCCAGAACTTTAATCCTTGCTTGTTAATTTACTAAATTTACTAAATAATGGATACTCATCTTCCTGTTCCTTTTCCTACTCCATTCTCTCCCGCACCATGTATATCCTTCCATCGACATTCCTACTTTCTTCTCATTTTACTGTTTATTTTCCTCTGTACCTTCGTCCTTCCCGTCCTTCTACACCGCCTTTTTTTCCTCTGACCATATTCCTCGTACCGTTTTTATTACACCCTTCTCATTCTTCTTTCCTTCCTCTTATTCTGCTCGATCTTTCTTCTCTTCCTTTTACTCAATATCTTTCCTTCTACTCCTATGAAGCTGTTCCCCTTCATACAGTCTCACGATCAACCTATCTATCTCCATCCTCAGCCTCACTTTTTATCTATCCTCTTCATCTCAGTCTTGCATTTATCTAATTTTCATCTTATCTCTCGTCAATAAGGAGCGATTTTTTCCCACTCAGAATGCAAACGGGAAACGAAAGCCAGAAAACGCCAGGTTTGCTTCGGTTCAGTTTAGTGAGATTTCGAGAAACCTTCATTTATCGGCACTCTCTTCTCTCCATCGACGCGTGACGTCATATTTGGCCAATAGAAAGCAAGGAAAACGGTGGGCGGAGTTCGTTGCCAAGAATTCCCACCCCCGGAAGAGCTCAAAAATGGGCGATTGGCGGAAAGACTCATTATCATTTACGTATTTCTAGTGCTCATGATACGAAATAACTTTGTAAAATAGTTGATAAAACTATGTGCAATAATCTGAACCCCACCTGTAGCAAAGGGTATAATAATATTACAGTGTATTCAGTCTCATAAAAACTAGCGGTGTATGGCAACTGATATTAGCGGGAGGACGGGGCGTGGCCTATTGGGCGAAGGGGCGTGGCCAAGGTGGTAAGTGAGAAAGTCGGTCCAGTTCTCTCACAAACGGAAGGGAAGATGGGCAGTAGAATATCCAAATGAATATTTTTCGAAAGACTAAAGGTAAGACGAGAGAAAGTGAAATGAGGGAGATGGGAAGGCGTAAAGAGAGAGAGAGAGAGAGAGAGAGAGAGAGAGAGAGAGAGAGAGAGAGAGAGAGAATGAATGAAAGCGCATAAGAGAAAGAGCGAAATATGTACGAAGAAGAAAGTTTCAGAACAAAGCTGCTCGGTTGGTTTTCGGAGGAAAGTTTACGCAATGTGTGTTTTGTGTATCGAAAGATTACCAAACATTTTCTAAGCGAGAGGTGGAGTGCGAGTGGGTAGATGAATATCGAAAGAACAAGAGGAAAGAGAGATAAAAAGGTTAAATAACAGTGTTATGCATAACCGGGCCAAGGTTTTGGAAAGAAGGTATTGCAGCCAAGAACACAACAATTGAGTATGTGATCTTTCCAAACTTAAACGGTTTAAGGACTTGGGAAAAGTGATAAAATATCCATGTGACAAATTCATAAATTCATGCCCTGATTTTACACCCGTCGACTGTTTACACGGTTACTGAAATCAAAATCCAGTCAGAAGAATCAGGTTTCCGATTTCTAAATGAATTGCGTCATTAGCGCAAGAGAGAGTCTTATTCTCAATTGATTGCTGACGTGTTTCTGTGTTTGCATGATGTTGCCTCTTTTGTGGCTGATGTAATATATATATATATATATATATATATATATATATATATATATATATATATATATATATATATATGTATATATATGTATATATATATATATATATATATATGTATATATATATATATGTATATATAAGTATATATATATCTATATATCTATATATATCTATATCTATATATATATATGTATATATATGTATATATATATATATATATATATATATATATATATATATATATGTGTGTGTGTGTGTGTGTGTGTGTGTGTGTGTGTGTGTGTATGTGTGTGTACGTGCGTGTGTGTGTGTTTGTGTGTGTGCGTGTGTGTGTGTGTAAATATGTGTGTGTGTGTGTGTGTGTGTGTGTGTGTGTGTGTGTGTGTGTGTGTGTGTGTGTGTGTGTGTGTATGTGTGTATGTGTGTATGTATGTATGTATGAATGTGTATGTGCACTTGTATCCATGTGCTTACCTAGCCCAGTTGTATGTATGTATATCGGTATGCGCGTATAAATATGCACATATGAATGGATACATACAGATATATATGGGTAAACTAACAGATATAACATTATCGTCAGGATCATGTATCTCTGTAGAACTTTTTGGTGGAGGGGGGGTGGGGGTAGAGGATGATAAGGTTTTGGGATGTCTTCGCCGTTCCGCTCTGTCTATCGTGGTGA